AGCAAATTAATACCAAGTTTTATTCCTCTGTAACAAGCATCCATTGCACCACTATCCATGCAATTGTTCCAAGGGTGAGGCTAGGCCATGACCTGGAAGGAGATCATTCAGAACAGTCTGTCACCTATTTTGGAAAATTCAAAGTCCCTGTGAATAACATCCTTCAATGACAAACCCTCTTTGTCAGGAGAACTGCTTCTATCATTGCATCTGTCAAGCTGAGCCACTGAACGAGCTATTTTACTGGGTCTCCCCCAGTCAAGCTCAATTTGAGTTTTATAGTCCTTGATACTTGTGGGATATTTTCATAGAAGCCATTAACTTACTTTGCACTGGGAATTACGCTGCTTGGCAGGAGCTATCTCTCCTCACGATACCTGCATGTCCAAAGTTGAACCTAGTCTTGTAATGAGATAGCAAAAAGTAGTCATATATATTCAAAATGTTGGCCTGTAAGCCAGTAAGACCTGAAAATATTTACCAATATGTCAAAATGCTTCTAGCTGAAAACCATTTCTAAACCATTCGCTGTTTGCAAGTTTAATGGCTTAAGGCTTATGGGCTCATGAATCACCAGCTTTCTTAGCAGCAGCATTTGAAATGTTGATACCTTAGCCTTGAAATAGATGTGAAGGTACCACAGCCTTTACAAGCTGTTATCGAAAGACATACTTTAAAAGCTCCCACAGAAGACTGAATGCAATAGAAGTAGCTGAGCAGAATGAAAGTAACCAAACCAACTTAGTTAAAGTCATTGTTCATGTCTGCGTTCCACTTTAGTGATTACCCTCCAGCTGGGCAATGAATCATATTAAAGGAAGGTTTGATACTTACAGTTTGTCTGATAAAAAATCCAGATGACTTCAGAAGCAATGATGAGTATTTGGGAAACTATTAGTCTTATTTCAAATTACTGAATTCAACTATCAGAAGAAAATTTTGGAGCGCAATTCCATTTATCACAGCTTTAAAAAAAAAAAAAAAAAAAAGCAGCTTTGTACCATTTTTATTATTCCAAGATTTTCAGTTGAGAAAACATATGAACAGTCATGGAAAAAAATTGCTACAACAGATCCATGTGGAATGAGCATCTCTAAGGTCAAGGAGGTTATGCCAGTAAATAGCAAATGCTGCATTACGGAACTGTAAATGAAATGTTAAGTGTACACGATACTAGAGAGATAACAGGCATGGAATAGACAAATACAATAGCAAATCCAACTGGAAGAAAAAAGAAACCTCAATTGTAAATAAAAATAATAATAATTCCATACACAATCCTCTAAAATATGTCGCCGTAAATTGTCTTACCTAGGTCTTTCAAAGGGATATACACTGGAGTGGAGTGTAAAATGATAACACATATACATGTTTTATCTACAGCAGTTACGACAGATAGATGAACGAACACAAAAATATAGCAAAGAAAGTTCTCTTTCAGTTTTAATCAAAGAGACTAAGAAAACCCACTAAATAAAAAACAAAACAACAGCAAATTTATGCAATAGAATGATTATGGGTTTATCTGTGAATAGTTTAAAGGCACGGGAATTCACAGCTTTCTGTTTTTTTCTGAGTAACTGTCCCTATCTATATATACAGATTCATCTACCATGTTGATGTTGACAACTTGCAGGTCTCCCTCTTCCCTCCTATCTCCTTGCAGCCAGATTAAAATCCCAATCTGTTTCCAACACTTCTCTGAGGATGTCTAAGATCAGCTCAGCCTCAGCTTTCCAACCTTTCTCCTCTATCAATACAGATAAAAATGACATTTTGCCTACCACTCAACTCATAACACTTCATTTTCAACTCTGATTTCCCTCCAGACCCTCACGCTGAAACCATACAAAAATAATCAGATAGATTTTGATATATTTCCAAGATGATTTCTTTATGTTCATCTTCACACCTAAAAAATTCTGTCCAAGCTCACATCACCTTGATTGCTGTAAATTCTTTCCACAGATTTAATCTCACTCAAGTTCCATCTATCCAGAATGCCATCCCAAAGAGCATTTTCAGCAATTAGTCAATGTGAATGCTTTTTCAAAGCATTTTTCTTTAGATTCTCCTTGTGTTTGGGCTTTTACTCATGCAGCAGTCATACAAGGAGGTAAACTCCTTGTAAACAGCTTCAAACCTCATTCTCCTTCCTTCTGAATTCTCCTTAAAACTTATTTGCTCTGATTTCTTGTGGGAATCTTGTCAATTAGGCTATTGCCAAGCACTCTGACTAGTACAGTCTAACTCCTTGCCCTTCCTTTCTATTACCATTGTTCTTCCACTCATATTTGAAGCTTTTGGGGGCAAAGATTACTGCCTTCTCTTCTCTTAGCTGTACAGAAGATCAGAATACACTTCTACTTGACTCACTGAGCTAAATCCATGAAGTATTTAAACTTCCTTCTCAGCATTTTATGCAAGTGCTGCTGTGCTTCAAAAGACCATAACTGCTATCCTCATCGTGAACACAGAAAAACAATGTGTGGGTAGCCAAGGATTGAAGCAAGTACCATTTAAATTATACTTGAAGCCATGCCAGCAACATCTCAGCATGAATGAACTAGACACAATATGTAGCTCCACTGAACTCTTTTCTATGCCATAGGTCAGTATAGCTTTAATATATGCACAGGAATTATTTCTGGTGAGTTATCCTGTTCAAACAAGTCCACACATACTTCCCTTAAGGTGTCTGTAGTAAACAATGATTTTTCATCACTGGTGAATGTGATTCTCAGAAGAATCATCCATACCCACCCTCTCCTAGTAAAACCATTTTAGCAGTCACTATGGTTTAGAATGTGTGTTGCCAATAGGTTTAGTAACACCATGTCAGGAGCAGCTATAGTTTAGTACACATGTTGCAGGTAGGCTTTCAATCACAGTGCGGACTGTGATTGGCTCACAGGGTGAGCCACCCTCAGATTTTAATTCTTTATTGTTCAGCAACAAGACAATCAAAGCGGTTACATTTTGGCCTTTAACAACACCTTGATGCAAGCCACAGAACAACTCCTATGTCCCAGGAGGTACAGTCTGGCGGAAGGTATGGTTGTGAGCTCCAGTAGCTGGTGCATGGAAGGGTGAAGAGGAAAATAGACACAGAAAAAGAGGAAGGAAAAGATGGAAAAGATGGAAAGCTCAGACATCAGTTACCCAGTGACACAAAAGCAGTGGGATATAGAATCACAGAATCATTAAGGTTAGAAAAGACCTCCAAGATCATATGGTCCAACCATCCCCCTACCACCAATGTCACCTACTAAACCATGTCCCTAAGCACCACGTCCGACCTTTCCTTAAAGACCCCCAGGGATGGTGACTCCACCACCTTCCTGGGCAACCCATTCCCATGCCTGACTACTCTTTCTGGTATATTATCAGTGTGAAAAATTGAGGATTTGTCAACCTGAGGTCAGCCACTGATTAGACAGCCTGAATCTCATCTATCTTACTCCTTATGCTCCACAAAAGTGACCATGGTCTGGGTCCAGTCTGAAGAAGCTGCCCAAACCCTGCCCTTTCAGGATGCACTTCCAGGCAAAAGGCACTGTCAGGCACAGCAAATATGCTGAGTACAACACTGGGAACAACCCCAATCTCATGTGAAATCTGTGCATACTGATTGGCCTTACAGATAACAGGGCACAATGGGTTTTGTATCCAAGCTTACTTCACACTTACTTTTCTGTCTCTAGGCAGCCTTCATCTACCCAGCACAAGACATGGGCAAATATCTACCAAAGTCTTTAAGTGCTTAAATTGCCACAGCACACTGCAGCATGTGTCTGAATTACAGGGCAGCCAAAGTTTCCTGTTCACTAATATACCACAGAGCTACGTAAAATTAAAACCACAGTAGTTCAAAGAAAAGCAGCTGTCTCCTTTCTATTTAGTTGGAGAACTTGAACTCTTTTGCTTCTCTAAGGGCAACTGTTTTATCTTGACTTAGGTATCTGTAGATCAGCTTCCTTATCTAAAGTGAACAAGTCCAGTGCACCACCATAGTAAAGGTCCTGTAACTGCCATTGCAGGTGTATTACTATTACTGTGTAAGAACTTGGAGCCAAAAAAAAAGTTTCAAACATGTTTATTAGCACATATTAGCAATTCTGTTCACTAATTCTCTTTGTCACTTCAGAAACTGTGAATTTCCCAGATTGGTTCTAGCAAGGCAGCTAGTTGTGCTGTCAGTCCACAGGCCAATACAGTGTTCTCATTTGAAGGTATTCACAGGAAGCATATAGGCTGAGAGCATTTATGAAAAAGGCAGGGAGAATCCCCTAGTTGCTCTCTCTCTTCTACTGCAGTTATAGAGAAAAATCACTAGATGGAGCTGCACAGTCACAAATCTGATTTATAGCCACTAGAAGAGTTTGTTGTCTCCTATAGTTCTATTTGGCCTAAAACTGACATATTCCAGTGCGACCTGATAACTCATCTTCTGAAAGATGGGATGAAATGCTTTCATTTACAAAAGCAAAATGTACACAGAGAAAATGATGAGATACTGAAGGGGAAAAAAAAAAAAAAAAAAAGAGAAACCAACAACATTCCAACATTCACAGCCTTCAAAATCAAATACATTTTAAAAGTGAACTGAGAAATATTTTATCTGCCAAGACAGATCAAATTTCTCGCTTTGTTCTGCAAGTCAGAAAGCTCAGCAGACTCCTTAGTGCTTGACATGATTAGCTGCTGCAAGAGAAATACAAGAGCTCTGTGCTCAAGCCTTTGTAAATAAGGTCTAGCACACAATAAAAATGCAGTGATAGGCAAACCCATGTCCCATAAATACAGCTTTTGCCTTGGCTGATATACTTAATCCTGCACTTAAGATGTACTTACAAGAGAATCCTTTTCGGCTAAATGCATTGACACTAGACAGTTTTGCTAGCTTAGGAACACAGTTGAAAAGTTATCGTCCTAACCTACTGAAGCACAGTTCATCTGGTTTTATAGAGATTAACTATGTGCCAAAAGGGAAGCTGTACCTGCTTTCATCCTACATCTGCAGATGCCAATTTGCTCCATGCCCACAGAGTTCTGGTCTGTGTCCAAGGTTGTCAATTTCATTTCACCTAGAGCAACAAAATAACAGACCTTTGCATCTTGCTGGGGTTTTGCAAAATCAAGGTGTTGCCAAGACTTCACAAAATAACAACCAAATCCCTCCTGCAAATGGCCCTGCAGGGTCCTTTCAGCACATATCTATGAATTATGTAGTGAATCAAATGCACAGAAACACTTTCTACCCTGATTTCTAAGAAAATGAGTTAGCACAGCCACCACTGGTCAATTTCCTCAGACACTGACCAGGGCAGCAGGGAGATGTTTGAACCACTACAGTAGGGGCTGAAGTGACAGCAGAGGAAAACAGGGGCCCTTTTCTCTCTTTCCCCACTCCTTGGCTCGGTCCTTTCACCGAGAACCCTCACGTCTTTTGGGCACAGGGTTCAACCCCCACAACCTGAGGTGCTTTGTGACCGGGATCCTGCCCACACCTCAGCTTCGAGTCCTCTGGTACTGGGGAAGAAGAAGGCACACCTCCAGGGCCGGGGCAGCCCCAGCAGGGACATTACTGCCAGGACCTCCTTCACCACCACCTCAGGCGTGCTTTAAAACGAAGACAGCGGCCGAGCCAGGCTCAGAGGAGGCGAGGGCGCAGCTCCCTCCCCTCAGCCGCCCGGCTCCCTCACGGAGTGTGCGCCACCACCCTCAGCCTTCCCGCCTATGCCGCGCAGATGGCGTAAAGTACGCAAAGATCCCCACGCCGGCAGCGTGGGCAGCCGCCGCCCTGCGGGCAGGAGGAGCAGCAGCAGCGGGAGGCGGCCCGGCCCCGCCCGGCCCCACCACATGGCGGGCGGCCCCGCCCCGCCCCGCGCCCCCCTGTGCCTGTGACCGCGCCGCTCGCCGCCTCAGCCGCTCCGCGATGCCGCTCTTCAGCGTGCCCAAGGAGGTGGCCGTGGGGACGGCCATGCTGGGGGTCGCCTTCGCCACGGGGCTGCTGGCAGGTAAGCGGCGACCCCGCCGCCAGCCGCGGGCAGGACGTGGCCGCGCCCCAGCGGCTGCCGGGGAGCAGGGCGCCTTCAGGGCGGGCTGGGGCGGGTGTTGTTTTGTTGATCTGTCGGGGAAAAGGAGCCGCGGACGCCAAAGCCGGGATCAGGTTTGTATGTGAGCCTTCGGGGTTACGCCTGCAGACGCAGCTTCCAGCGCTGCCCCCGGACCCGAACCCGGCAGCGAGCTGCGCTGGGACCCGGGGCTGGGGGCGAGCCCCCTGCCTCAAGGGCACCCGCCGCTGGCATCGGCACTGCGAGGCCCCGGGGTAAGGACAGGCAGGGGCAGCAGCGCTGCTGCACAGCCGCCCTGGGCAGCCTCAGGCCTCCTGCAGCCGTGAGTGGGGGTGCAGTTCAGTGCCCTGCAAGGATACAGCACGCAAACCTTCACTTCAGCTAGGGAACATCACGGCACCCCAGCCTTTCACTTGTAGTTTCAGCAGGCTTCCGCTATACACTTCAGAGGTAGAAAAAAAAAAATATATATATACATATATATATATAGTCCACTGAGCAGTCCAGCTACTTTGTATCATCATTATTCACTGGCTCTTTCAGAGCAAAGAGCCCTCTTCGTAGTACTAAAATGTACTTTAAGCACTTTATAACTTATTTTTATGTATTTTATTTATTTAAGCAGCCCGTAATTGAGAATTGCAAAGTTTCATCAGCAGAGCTTAAAGTTGTCCCTTATTTTTTGCAGGTAAAAAATACCCATCCTTAGTTTTTGGGATACCCAGGTCACCCAGAAGTGTTATTGGAAAGAGCAGTCCTCTGTGGCAGTACATACTGGATCACTCTGTGAGGGAACACCCAATTCTAAAGAAGCTGCGACTGGTCAGTACTTTATCTCCCACCCTACATTTTCTGTTCAGTTACTGTTCCACTAGGCCCTTTTGGCATCATCCATGTCTGGTCCCAAATTGCTAGACTCCTGATTATATTGCTTATGTTCCTTATACTCTTTTATATTGCTTATATTCCTTCCTCCATCTTACTTGCACATACAAATTTATAGGTACACAGAATTAATAAGCCCTTAGGAAGCACTACAGGCAGCCTCAAAAGTATAGCTTTCTGTTCCTCACAGAGATACCCAACAACCCAACCTCTTAAGATTGGTCTTTTAGTTTTATAATCCCAGACATTGCAGCAGAGACCAAAATCCTGCTTCCTGATAAAGAAAGACCCTTACTCCACCTAAGTAAAAAGTTGCCTTAAATCCTCTTCCTTCCCTGCTCTTTGTACTTTCTGGGATTTTCAATCCTTAGAAATCATTCTATATACATATTTATACTGGTGCAGAAGAAATCCTGGTCATATCTGTTTACCTTGGATACACTTCCTACACAAAAGAAGCAAATGCAAAGATGTCCAGTGTTTTAAATTCTAAAACATATGCAAGAGAAATGGTTTTGAGATGGTAGCACCCAGAGTTTTCAGTGTTCAGGGCTCCCCAATGAGTATTTAATGGTATTGGCATACACATTAAGCACATCTTGTATCTTAGAAGAGTGACGTCTTTAAACTTGCTGTATTGTTGGAGCTCAGAACAGCCCTCCTGGCTCAGGACTGGCTCTTAGCAAATGAGACAAACTACTCCTGTATAAAAGCAATTAAATGTTAAACAGTGGAGCTGTTCGGTTAGATTGGGCCCCAGTAGAGAACAGGAAAGGGGAGGGCTGTCCTCTTCATTGAACTGCAGTGGCATAGTCCTGCTTCCCCTGCTGCTCTTCGTCAGTGCCTGAGGCCCTCACACCCTGCCACCTCTAGCTAGGTGCTATGTAGCCAGAACCAGGGGGTCTGACCTTTGGCAGAAGACTTTGACCTGAGAGTTTAAAAAAAACAAACAAACAACACAATACCACGTGCTACATGTCATGGAGGTATAAGGGCATAAATACAAAGGCTGTCATTAAGAAAAAACACATCTGTTTATGCAAATGTACAGAAATAAAGGACTTTCACAATCAAGATTCCTTTAAGGTTCTTCATCCATTACAACTTTACTGCTGAGTTTGGTACAGACACGGGGTAAATTTGGATCACACCATTGCTTTGCATGATTAGCAACTGTTTATGACTTCACCCCTTGCCACTTCAGTTACTGTTAAATTCAAAACAAATTTCTGTCTCATACATGGAGCACACAGCCATCTAGAATAAGAAAGCTAAGAGCATCTCTGTTTTTCCTGGGGTTTCTCTGCCTTAGGACATAATTTTGGAAGCTTTGGCTTTTGTTGTTGTTTTTAGTATTGTTGTTATTGTTTCATTGTGTTATTTCCTCTCTTCAGATCACTGCAGAACATCCCTGGGGTAGAATGATGGTGTCCTGTGACCAGGCTCAGCTTATGGCAAATTTGGTCAAACTCATTAAAGCGAAGAAAGTTATAGAAATAGGTAAGATCATCACTTTATCTTCTCTGTAGATAAATAAATCTCCTGTCTGTGCTTCTCCAAATCCAGCCATGTTTGTGTAAGATAGGATTTCCCAGTATAGTAAAGCACTGCATCTCTGTCTCAGTAATCAGTTGGGTAAACTAGTGTGATAGTATCAATAATTTTAGCATCAGCAGGGATGTCTCATCAACTCAGAAGCAACCTGAAAAATTAGGACCAATAGATCACTTGGGTCTGTAAAATTGACCAGCAATTGCCAGGCAGGGTGTATTCCTTCCTTTCTGTATAGGTTTCTTGTCCAAAGGAATTAGTTTGCTGCACAGGCCCTGAATCCAATCCACTTTCTTTGACATGCCTATGTGAGGAGGATGTCCCAAAGCCAGACTGATGCTGAGCAGCCAGGAATGGGTTCCCATCATCTTTATCTTTGGCCCCTCTTATGATGCCCTGGTATTTTGCTCCTGGACAGATTCAGTCCTTTTAGCTCAGGATTTAGCTCTGCTTTTAAGTGATTGTTTTCCTGAGGTGCAGGACCAGACCCTGCCCTCTGTGTCCTGGAGAATTTTAGGAAAAAAAAATACACACACAGATAACTTGAATCTTTGTTACAAGATTGATTAAAGAGGAGGAAAAAAAATATCTTCACAACCCCTGTAACATCGGAATGAAATAGAAAGCCTTTTGAGTCCATTAACAAGTTGTCATCTTTGACCCTTCTGGGTTCCTGTTTGTTTTATTTTTATTCTAATTTTTATTATTATTGGTTTTATTATCATTCTAGAAGGGACCTCCCTAGTTCACTATTTATCAGTTTTTCAAAACACAGTAATTATTCATGACTTCTACAATTTCCCTAGGTGTTTTAACAGGATATAATACCTTGAATATGGCACTTGTCCTGCCAGATAATGGAAGAGTTGTTGCCTGTGACATAAATGAGGACTATGCCAAAATTGGAAAACCACTGTGGAAGGAGGTAAGGAGCATCTTCTCAGTTAGGTGGTTGGGACAGCTGCATTTGCTTGTTACTATTGCTCGATAATTTTGGTATCTTAGACCTGCACATTCACATACAAGCATTCCTATCATTAGGGCAGGAGTTGCAACAGCTTAATTTGAGAAGACAAATAATTGATGACTGGATCCTAGAAACAACGGTAAAAAAAAAAAAAAATCTGTTGGCTAGTCACTCATTGAATGCAAACTGCAAACAGGTTACTTATTGACGACTTGGATCACTTCTATGCTCTTTTTCCACTCTAGGCAGGAGTAGACCATAAGATTGACCTACGGATAAAGCCAGCTATTCAAACACTTGGTAAGTAACTTAAAATATATTTTTTTCTCCCTTAGAAGCCAAAAGATGAATATAATGCTGATGAAATCCAGGAAATACACTGTCAGATCTGATCCCCTGGGTAATAGTGAAACAAATTTTCTTATCTAAAGAGATCTTAAAAGTAAATTTATAAGCACAGAGCTTTAAAAGTTCAGTTTTCTTATGTGCTAACAGAAAGGTGAAAATGCTCGTCCTGTGGAGTGGGCTGTGCTGGTCACTCACCTGTCCTGTCTATTGCCTTACTTAATCTATGAAGTACTATTGTCAGCTCTTTCTGGGAAAGCAG